TTGGTTAGCGGTGGGTTTCTTTGCCGTCCTGGGCTTGCGCACTGGTTGGAAATCACCCCATAAATGGTGTGATCTGAGCGAGAATCGCCCTGAGATAACTGGCGGGGTTTCGAGGCTCTGTTTACTTTCTGTTCTCCTGTCCGAGCCCTGGGCCGTGGTGTTGGAAATGGGAGGGAAGATGGGAAGGAAGGACTTGAATCTAGTGGCATGGAGAACATCTGTCTCCGACATGACCTGGATCAGCTCCGGCGACTCTGCGAACCTCTATCACGTGAACCATTTTCCTCCTCCTCACGTGGTTGTATAGTTCGCTCGCGCACTCACTGCCATCGAGTCTTTTCCGACTCAGAAACTTGTGGATAGGACAGAATAGAACCCCTGTGGGTTTCCGAGGTTGTAAAGCACTGCGGCTGGGTCCTTGATCCACCTGCTGATCTTGACGTTAGCCCCCCAATGCGTTAGCCGGAGCTGCTGCTTTTGAAAAACAGCATCCAAACTTAATGCCATCTAGTGGAGGCCGACTCAAAGCGACTCTATAGGGCAAGGTAGAACGGCCCCTGTGCGGTTCTGAGATGGTAGCTCTTTACGGGAATAGAAAGCCCCTAATTTCTCCCACGGAACAACTGGTGGTTTCGAACTAGTGCTTAGTTACTGAGACAGCTTTGTGATAGTTATCTAGTGCTGCCATTAACACCAGTGCCGTAAGTAGGTGGCTTTAAGAGGACCCTGGTGGTGTACTGGGCTGTGCATTGAGATGCTGCAAGGTCAGCACTTTGAACCCACCAGCCACTCCACAGGGGAAAATAAATATGAAACTGCGCCAATGAATCTTTTAAAGTCTGAGAAACCCAAAGGGGCATTCCCCTGCCCTACTGGGTCACTATGCATAGGCAGTGGTAGTTTTTGGAGTTTTAAGTTTATTTTTCTCACAATTTAAGAGGCTAAAGGTGTAGATTGAGCTGGCTGTAGAGGAAGGTTTTCTATATTGGATCTGGAGGAAAGTGTTTGTCTTTGAGCTGCTACGCCTGGGCATTCTTGTGATCTGGCGTCTCTTTTTCTCCCTCCTCTGCTTCTGCCTGCTTGTTTAATCTCTTCTGCGGTACTTCAAAAGAGAAGGGCACATTACCGACTAGGGTCTTAAAAGCTCCTAAGTCGCCAGCTATCCAAGGTGCAACAAGTAGCCCCATCCCATCCAGAGGAAAGAAGGATGAAAGTCAAGACATAGGGAAACATTAGGACGACTGAGTGAAGGTTCCACACCGTTTCTGAATCTGGTCTGAAATTGTGGCAGCTCCCTGTCAATGTACTGTTGCAACCCTTATTGAATGGGCTTCAGCAAAAATTTACTTGCATGTGCTATTCAGATCTTACTTCAGACTTCCTTTGACCACTCTTGCTGAAGTAGTGCAGGGGCCGTGAATTGTTTAGTATGGCTCTTCTTGGTGATGTCTAGAACATCCACCAAACTACTTTCCCCTGCATAGGTCTGGTTAAAAAAAAGGTGGGGGGAGATAATGTGAGTAATTATGAACCAGATTCCCTGCAATGCCATCCTACGGCTCATTTTAAGCCCTTGGAGAAGCAAGAGGAGGGATCTCATTACCAGCAGACGCCAAGAGTGAAGCACATCCTCTAGACCTGAGAACCCTGCACAGTGATTATCCTGGAGCCAGAAGACAGCCATAACATCAGAGGAGCAACAGTAGAACCAGGAGCCTGCGGAGTGGGGTGCCTCCGAACACTTAACTGGGGAAGCTGGGCTTGCTGACCCATGGAAGTGATGCTGAGTGCCTTCAGCCTTACTGGAGAGGGGTGACACAGGGCACTTAATTCAAGGAACTGGGTTTGCTGAACTTGAGCTGAATGCCTTCTGGCTGAGGCACCCAGCGGAGCAGTGTGCTCCTTTGTGCATTTATGAGCAGACCTGAAAGGACTTTGTGACGTGTCCTGATAAACACCTCAACCCAGTGAGAGCATTTCTCACTGGCAATACAACATATTAAATTCATTAATATACCCCTTAATCATGAATTTTATCTGAGTTCTGTGTAGTCAATACAATATATATCAGACCCTAGAGATTAGAGAATACCATTGGAAAATACACAATGAATACAATTGTAAACTACACAAGTAGAAGAAGTAATTTTCTACTACTGTGTATACTTCAAGGTAGTTATCACTGCTGATAATTATCTGTGTAGTTTTTATTTTGTCTCTCAGTAGAAAATAAGCACCATGATGTAGATATCTTAACCTACTTTATACATTTCTGTACCAGTGCCTGTTACAAATAAAGTAATGGAATGTATGGTGGTTCACATATATATATCATAATTTGATACTGTGTTTTAAAGCTAATCTGAGTCACTTCATTATATTACAACAAAATAACTATTTCAAGGTGGAATACTTTTATTACTGATTTTCAGAAAGTCAACATAGCCTTTTATATTGATAAACATAACCAGATTAATGGGTTCACCATCTGTGATTAAATTTTCACAAGATTGGTAAGCAAATTTAACTCCCAAAATTAAGCATACTTTAAACTCTTACAAAGAATAACAAATGCAATTCTATAACTACTTATAGCTTCAAAATTACTCAGAAAACTGAATATTACTGGAAAACCTAGTCCCTTCCTAGTAAATATATTTTAATAGAAATTCAACTATGATAGACTACATATAAAGTTTTCATCTTAATGTTATGGTAATTATATATAAATGTCTTTTAAATATCACTCTAATTCTTTCCACACCAAAGAGAATAACCAACCTCATGGATTCTTACAGTAGTCCATAATTTCTTCTTGTTTGTTTTTTCATGTCTTACACTGTCCGACATCTCCCTTCACCCACTTTTCTGTTGTCCGTCCCCCAGGGAGGAGGTTATATGTAGAGTCTTGTAATTGGTTCCCCCTTTCGAACCCACCCTCCACACTCACACCACTGGTCCTGAAGGGATCATCCGCCCTGCATTCCCTGTGTTTCCAGTTCCTATCAGTATCAGTGTACATCCTCTGGTCTAGCCAGACTTGTAAGGTAGAATTGGGATCATGATAGTTGGGGGGAGGAGGAAGCATTTAGGACCTAGAGGAAAGTTGTATGTTTCATCGTTGCTACATCGCTCCCTGACTGGCTCATCTCCTCCCCGAGACCCTTCTGTAAGGGAATTTTCAGTTGCCTACCAATGGGCTTTGGGTCTCCACTCCGCACTCCCCCCACCACCATTCACTATGGTATGATTTTTTGTTCTGATGATGCCTGATACCTGATCCCTTCGACACCTCGTGATCGCACAGGCTGGTGTGCTTCTTCCATGTGGGCTTTGTTGCTTCTCAGCTAGATGGCCGCTTGTTTACCTTCAAGCCTTTAAGACCCCAGACGCTATATCTTTTGATAGCCAGGCAGCATCAGCATTCTTCACATTTGCTTATGCACCCATTTGTCTTCAGCAATCTTATCAAGGAGGTGAGCACACAATGATATGATTTTTCGTTTTTTTGATACCTGATAACTGATCCCTTTGACAACTTGTGATCATGCAGGCTGGTGTGCTTCTTCCATGTGGGCTTTGTTGCTTCTCAGCTAGATGGCCGCTTGTTTACCTTCAAGCCTTTAAGACCCCAGATGCTATATCTTTTGATAGCCAGGCACCATCTGCTTTATTCACCACATTTGCTTATGTACCCATTTGCCTTCAGCGATTGTGTCAGAAAGGTGAACATGACAGAATGCCAGTGTTCTTGCATTGAGGGAGTCCTTGAGTGGAGGCCCAATGTCCATCTGCTACCTTAATACTGAACCTATAAATATATGCACATAGATCTATTTCCCCATCCTCATATATAAATATATTTACATATGTACATGCCTTTATTTAGACTTCTATAAATGCCCTTTGCCTCCTAGCTCTTTCCTCTATTTCTTTTTACTTTCCTCTGGAACAGTGGTCCCTAATTTCAACTATCATCTTAATCTAAGACTAAATCAAAATTGCTTAGGTTTCATTTAAATTTTTCACAATAGAATTTTTATTTTACTTTTTATTACCTGTATATCCTAATCATTTTTAGAGAATGTCTTTTTTGTTGTTGTTGTCATAAGATACATTTTTTTAAAATCCTTTTTGTTGGGTTGTTTATGTGCTTTTAATACCAAGCTTTATGGTGGGCAGAATACAACCCCGTTGCACAGTCCAGTCTCTTCTGGGTTCGTTTTTTCCCTGCCCTTCTTTCCCCTATGAGAATGCAAGTATAACTTGTCTTAGAGACTCTGTATTAATTTTGATGAACTTCCAGTAGCCTTAACTTGCCAGACATGTTTGAAAAATAAAGCAACTGAGGCCCTTGCAATGCAACCTCATAGAATGGAGCCTCCATCAACTTAGGTCAAAATACTTCTACACGGTCTTGATGTTACCATGTAATCTCGACACCGACATTGGCATCATCTATTGTCCTGAGGGGTAATTTTCAATTTACCACAAATGCTCAAAAATACAGCAGTGTTTCCTTGGGGGTTCCTTGGTAGAATATCCTTTGACCTTAAATCCTTGAAGAAACTACATCCTTACTGAGAGATATTGCTTTATGCCCGTTTGAGACACATTTAACAGCGTCCTGCATGTACAAAATAGGGAGAAACCCAACATCATGGTGGAGAC